ATTTTTTTTTTTAATAATTTTAATCATTTAAAGGTCAAAAATATAGATTTCTTAAACAGTTGGTTAAAAAGTCGACTTTTATATCCCTATTCTAAAAATGTCTTCTGTTGATACAAGATCTTCTGAAGCTATTTTATTTTGAGATCTCCAGGCAGCTCAGGCTTCTCTATAATTTTATATCTGCTAGTCTACTTGAGTATTGCCTTTACATTTTATAGCCACACATACCATTTTCTTTAAATGCATATAGTCAATGTCTTTGGGTGTCATTAAATTAGGGATATGTAGGTCGACTTTTGCTATTGAAAATTCCAAATCAAAAAAGGAGGAATTTTTGCGATTGATTTTCGATCATTTTTAGCAGGATTTTTTGTTTCATTTTCCTTTTTTTTTTCATAATAGCCTGCAAAATTCAAAAGGATCGATTTCTTAAACAGTTAATTAAAAATTCCAATTATGGAGGCACAAAATCTTCTGAAGGTCTTTTGTTGTGAGAAAATACTCGTCTCTCTTTATTTCTCTCTTGAAGTTAACTAAAGGTCCTTCAGCCTTTAGAAGACCTCCAGAAACTCATCTGGTTTTGGGCGATAAAAGGTTTCTATCTACAAATAGAAGACCCTCAACATCTTGTAACGTAAAAGCCGCAATTGTGTGATTGTTTATATTGTTTTATTGCCTTCTATTTGTTCTAAAGCAAGCCCACAAAAATGCATTTCAAACACTTGTGGTGGATGAACCGCTTGACATCTAAGCTAATTTCGCGTGGCGGCAATTATCAATATCAGCTGAGACAGCGTCAGATTTTTTTTATATATTTTTTGGCGCCAATATTCTGTCTTGCATTTCTTTCAGCCAACAACAATAACAGTAGCATCGTCATCCATAAATATTGACAGATAAGACCTATGATTTGTTAAACAGCAAAATAACACAACTTGTTGTTAAACCATTACATTAGTAGGGATACGTAGGTCGACTTTTGCTTATGGTAAAAAGTGGACTTTTCGTAATAGTTTTTCGATTTTGATATCAGGGATGTTTGGCAGATTTTTTGTTTTATTTTTTATTATTTTTAAAAGTCAAAAAGATCCAAATCCATAGTCAGTAGATCTAAAGTCGACTTTTTTTGACAGAATTGCTATTTTTTATGTCTTCTGTGGACAGAAGATCTTCTGAGGGTCTTTTTTTGTAATGAGAAAATACTTTTCTCTATCTTTCTCTCTCTCTCTCTCTCTCTCTCTCGAAGTTAACTTAAAGTTCTTTTGTCTTAAGAATTACACTAGAAGCTCTCATCTCCCTCTCTTGTAACCTTAATCCCGCCATTTTTTGATTGTTTTGTTGCTTTGATTCTAAAGCAAGCCCACAAAAATGCATTTCAAACACTTGTTGTGGATGAACTGCTTGACATCTAAGCTAATTTCGCGTGGCGGCAATTATTAATATCAGCGGAGACAGCGTCAGCTTTTTTTATATTTTTGGCGCCAATATTCTGTCTTGCATTTGCTTCAGCCAACAACAAAAACAGTAGCATCATCCATAAATATTGACAGATAAGACCTGCAATAAATCATTTTGACACTTTGATACTAGACGGGTACTTAAACATCATTTGGCTGTCGTTATTTTTTTATAGATCCTCGACACCTAGTCATTAATGCCAATTAAATCTTAATACCAAGAAATCATCCGAAACAGAGATGATCAAGATGGCGCCACCATAAGCGTGAAATTCCTTTCCCCAGATGATTTAAAGCATGTTTACAATACAAAAAGAAATCCAGTGGATTTTAAATGTCAACTTCATTCTGTATGTCATCTATATGTCAAATTTGTAATCTAATAGTACGTTTATATATATGAGGGTTAACCCACTGGATTTGGATTTAAATTGTCATATCCATTACTTTTACTTCAAATAAATCCTCTCAAAGAAGGTTAACCCTACAAAAAGTTCTAACGTAAACATGGCATAATGGATTTTATTATATTTAATGGAATTGACAGTTGAAATTTTAAAATGGATTTATTGTCCATAGACACGAGCTTTGATATAGCCCCCACAAAAAATTTTCTAAAGGCCTAAATCGCTCAATGTACGCCTCTCAGTAAAGGTGAGAGTATATAAAACGCTTTCTTGACTGGCTTAAGTCATCGGCGGCCTTCTTCAATGTAGAGGAACAAAGGAGTTTTAAGTTGACTTAGTTCGATTTTGGCCCTTCTCTTCCAAAGAAACCAGCCGATGACTTAAGTCAATCAAAAAAAAGCGTTTTATGTATTTTCACCTTAAGTCTATTGGGCTCCACATGCATTTTGGGCCTAAAAGTATGCTATAAAAATGCCTAATAAAAATAAATATAAAAGTCACAAAATATATCTTTAACATGATGTGTAAATTAGTCTTAAAAAATCTAAGCTATTGGAGACATGGATGGTCTTCAATTTAATAACAGTTCAAGAAAGGTCTCATAAAAATGTTTCTAGTAATCCCTGATGATTCTGCAAAAGATCTCGGAAGATCTTTAAAAAACCAGTTTTCCTTTTCATAACTTTCTGCATTATTTTCACTTATCAAAAATCTACTGTTGTTGGTAGTCAGTGTCACACGCTGCCTTATCACGACAATAACAACGGTGAAAACCACCAGCACATTGTTTTTCACATTTCTAATCGAAACTAGATTGTATTTCATGCATTTCTAAGAATTATTTATGAATGAGTGCTGTCTCCGTGGTGGGGTTTGATTGGTTGGTTGGTTGAGGTGTGAAATCCACTATTTAAAGAAAAAAACACAAACACCTCTAATCTTTACCACCACCTCATTTATGATTTGTTTACAAAATGACATTTTTTAAAGTCCAAACAGCGACAGCCGGTCGCTGAATGCATTGCTATGCATATCTGTTTTGTTGCTATTTTTTCTATAAATATTACAAAACTAATTTTGTTTTTCAATTGAAAACACACGCGCTGGCACACAAACCTACACACACGCACACAATGGCATGCACACTCAATGTTGTTGGTGTTGTTGTTTTCCTGTGTGGTGTTATTCGTTCGTGATGAGTAAACTCTGTTGACATTACCGTTGAGAGACAACTCTTCAATGACGGTAACGTTGTCAGAGGCTACTGTTATAATTTTGCTGACGCCGTTAATGTGGCCTGACGTTGACGGCGCCGTTTAAAATGAACGATGTTAAATGAACGGTTGTGTGTGTGTGCCGTTTTGTGTTGTGTCTTTTTTATTTGTTTTTGTCATTTGGAGGTGTCCAATTTCCGGTTTTTACAAATCGAACGACAACGACGACAACACATGTGGGCTCATAAATTTTGCTCATATTCTTTTAGAATATGAAAAACCCAACAACGACAACGTCTTTTCACATCGTTGGCCACAATAACAAAAACAGCAACAACAACACAACCAAATACCGACATTTTAATGATGATCATATTTAGCGTCGTTTTTTTCCTTAATTGTTTTGTTTTCGTTTCGTTTCTTTCATGCTGCTGCCGCGCGATGTTTTTGTTGTTTTTTTATTATTGTTGTTGCTATTGTGTGTGAATTATGAAAGTAGTGTGTAATCGATGGCAATTGGTGGGTTGTTTTTCTCGGTTAAGTTGTTTGTATTATTCACGGTGTTCATTGGTGTTGCCAGATATAGAAAATTATGATTTATGTTAAGGGTTTTTTTGGGAGGAAATAAAAGTTAAGGCTTTTATTTTTAAAGAGAATTCTTTGGAAACAAAATCAAGTATTTCCGGCTTCCGGTAAATGAGGAACTTGTATATGATGTGTCATGCACTGAAAATTATTGGCCGCAGATAAGAAAATGATTTGAAATCAATGAAAATGGGGAAACTTGAAATTGCGAGATTTTATTGGCTGCTAAGTCACTAACATTGGAACAACTCTAGTTTAGTAAAAACTCTTCGATTTTTTCGAAATTTTTTCCAGATGTATGTATTTTTACCCTCATTCCGGGAAACAGTTTTTTCTTAGGGAACGGACCCGGGACCCCAAAATTTTTGACCGGAATGTCCGAGTCTAGACCAGACCCGGATCCACTTACCCGATATAGGTATTTTCATAATCTTTCAAACGATTCTTATATCCGGGTCTTGAACCCGAAGTTTCGCGTCAAAAATCTGTGGTCCCGTGTCCATTCCCCAAGAAAAAAATATTTTCCCAAAATTAGGGTTAAAATGCCTGCAAAAAATGTCAAAAAAAATCTAAGAGTTTTTACTCAACTAGCGTTTAGCCCAATTTTCTTTCGTAAATTGTATTTTTACAGAACTTACTTGGACCGTACTATCTAAATTTTATGTTTTTTTTATGAAAACTTTCCTAAGCTCTTAAAAAATCAGCCTGCAACACTTCCAATTGTTGATTAGTTTGTCAACAATTGCATTTCCTTTATTATCCATAGTTTATTTGTCGTTACACTGCTTCCTTTCCCATTAACGATTATCCGTTACCAGTCTTTTATATCATCAGATCTGGCAACCCTTTGTTTGTGCTAATAAATCATGCATAACCAAATTAGACACGAGTTACGATGAGAGAGAGTAATTGATTTATGAATCCCCTCTGTCACTCTTTCCCGTCGTCCCTTTTGTTTTTGTTTTTTTTTTCACAACAAAACAATGATTCAATGGCGCGGCACTTGAAGTATCAAAATTATGAATGAATTGAAGAATTGAATCAAAAAAACAAAATACTATTTTTGTGTAGTATAGTATTTGACTTGGGTGGGTAGAGGTAGTTAACATAATTTGTTAAATTGCTGCGGCTACGGCTACTGATGGCCCCAACCCCAGTTGTCTGATCGGACGATGGTGTAAATTAAAATTAGCGTAACTAATTGAAATTTATGTCACGTCATTTTATTTTTGTCGCCCTGTTCTTGTTGTTGTTGTCGTTTGTTTTGTCTGTGTCTAGCTAGTTTTTTTTTATAATAATTCTTATAAGAATTTTCCTCTTTTCTTTGCTATTTTCAGAGAATTTCTACATCACAAAAAGAAAAAACACACATCACGATTTCTCAGAACAAGACACCAGAAGAAGACAATAAAATACCTATTTGTTTGTTTATTTTCTTTCTTCGGGAGGAAGAAGATCCAATCCTAGTGGAACGTCAAGCGCAACAAATAACTGAAACAACCTCCTTTCTCTCCCTCCCTCTCTCTCTATCTCTGACAACATTGGAGAGGGGGGATGCTGTTTTGCTCTGCACTACTTGGCAGCTTAGAGAATTGTGTCAATATTCAGAAGGAATTTTATGTGTGGGAGTATCATCATTGTCGCCACCAATAATAGCCAAATAGAAAAACAAACATCCATCAGCATAGACAAGAACAACAGCAGCACAGCAGATGAAAAAAAATTCCATCTCCTCAAAACTGAAAAAATAAAAAAGAAACAAAAAAAAAAAAAGACTTTGTTGATATTTTCAAAGAAAGGAGAAACAAAACAACGGCATTTACTCTTAATTTACTTTTGCTTTAAGTAAAGAGAGAACGAGACCCCCAAAAAAAGAGAACAAGACCCCCCTTTGTTTACATTTGTCCAACGCAATACACTCTCTTCACTAGGCGGTAGTGGAGTGTTGAAAACCAACGAAAGAAAACTTAAAACGCCAACATTCAAAGCACACAGCAGCAAAATAATTCCGGCGGCGCAGAAGTTCCATCACCATCAGCCACAATAACAGCAACAACAAATATGGGTGGCAATAGCACGGCCGCCTTTAGTATTGGCGGCTATATGGGTGGCAGTGCGGGCAGCACTGGGAGTGCTGGTGGTGCTGTGGGCGGTGGCACCTCCGATCTAGTACCCTCCAGCAGTATGTTGGGCAGTGGTGGTGGAGGTTCCTCATCCACGCCGGGCATACCCTATGCCTGTGGCATTAGTTGGGATGAATTTTCCGAGCGTCATGCACGAGTTGCAGCCGCCGATTTTGCCAAAGCTTGTATTTGTTTCATTAACGGTGGTCTAGCGCCCGACGAGGCCCGCAATCTAACCTATAGGAATTTTGGTCAAAAATTTCTCGAATCATTTGCCGAACACTATGAAAAGGAGTTCCTTCGGAGACGAAGTAATTTGAAGGTAAGTTTTGTATACGTTTTTTTATAAGTATTTGTTTTAATGCCATTTGTGTCTTCCAGGTCGGCAATGGTGTTTTAGAGGAGCCCGAATATACCGAAGAACAACCAAAAATCTTTCCCAAAACATTCTTTCGACGTTTGTCATTTAAGGGACTGAGAAAGGGCAAGGTTTGCTATCGTCATTGTATAAGAAAAAAAAAAAAAAACAACAACAACAAAAAACAATCCCAACAGCTAATACGAAGGTTGCTATTAACATTTTGGGTATTCATATGTGGTGGAGTGTAGGGAAACTTTTTAGAAGCACAGTAGGAAGGAAGTCTATGGGAAAGGAGAAATCTTTTGAATGCCTAGTTCGTAAGATTTTAAAGTAGCAGAAAAAAGGATTTTTAATTCGGTTAAGATAATATTTTCAGATAACCAGAAGAAGGGCAACTTTTTAGGGAGGCTTACTTTTAAGGCAACCAAATGGGCGTTTTAGACGACTAGAATTCAGTCTTTAGATAAGTCTTTATAGGTGTTCAGAAGGAAGTATTTAAGGGCGACCATAAAAACTTCTTAAAATGCGACCAGAAGTGGGTTTTTAAAGGCGATCACAGCGAGACTTGGAAGGTGGTTAGCAGGAAGTCTTTAGAGGCAATTTAAAGGGAGCCTTTAGAGGCGTACAGAAGTGAGTCTTTAAAGGCGCACAGGATTGAGACTTTAAAGGCGCACAGAAGTGAGTCTTTAAAGGCGACCCCAAGCGAGTTTTACAAATCGACCAGATGGGAGTCTTTAAAGACGACCGACCAGCAGGGATCCTTGAAAGGCCACCAGAAGGAAGTCTTTAAAGTCGATCAGAAGCGAGACTTTAAAGGAGTTAAGAAAGGAGTCTTTAAAGGCGGCCAGAAGAGAGTCTTTAAAGGCGACCACTGGGAGACTTTGAAGGCGATTAGAAGGGAGTCTTGAAAGGCAATCAGACATGAGTCTTTAAAGGCGCACAGAACTGAGTCTTTAAATGCGCACAGAACTGAGACCCCAAGCGAGTTTTTGAAGTCTTCTAAGACGACCAGACGGTGTTTTAAAGGCGACCAGAAGGAAGTCTTTAAAGGCGATCAGATGGAAGTCTTTAAAGGCGATCAGAAGGGAGTCTCTAAAGGAGTTCAGAAAGAATACTTTAAAGGCGGTCAGAAGGGAGTCTTGAAAGGCGGACAGAAGGAAGTATTTAAAGGCGATCAGAAGGAAGTTTCTAAAGGAGTTCAGAAAGCAGTCTTTAAAGGCGATCAGAAGGGAGTCACTAAAAGAATTCAGAAAGAAGTCTTTAAAGGCGGCCAGAAGAGTCTTTAATGCTCTAGAAATTGACTTTGAAGACCCTTTAAAAAAAAACTTTCTAATCAGAACACGACATCGAAGTTAGCAAAAGAGAGTAGATTTGTGGGCCAGGAAACAAGTTATTCTACTTAGCCCAGAGACAGATTTTTAGACCACCAGAAGAAGATTTCTTTAAGTTTCTTTCTTCTCCGCGTTTCCATTGAAAACCGGAGGGTGAGCACCCAAAAAAAATGTGCATAGCAACCCTTGTATATTGTTTTTCCCATCCTTTTTAAACACTACCATTTTGTTGGGGAACAGTAATTTAAAAACGTGTTATCATTAGAATTTTCTATTCTTACAGACCCTATCACTGTTTCACAAAAGTTCCGATGAAGAGGAGACGAGTAAACACAATAAGAAATTTGCCAAAATTTTAGTCGAATGCAAAAAGGAGGGCATCGTCAACAATCTAACACCGGAAAGTTTGGATCAACCCACGGGTACACAGAAATGGGAAAAATGTCGTCTACGTTTGGTAAAGGCCGTGGGAGGATTTATGCTGGAATTTTATATACCACCCAAGGCGGCTAAGGTATATTAACTACACTTTGCCAGTTATACAGAATTAAAAAAAATAATGCCTATTATTTTCTCACTTTTAGCCCCGTTGCGGTGTCTTTTGTTTCCTAATATCGGAGGCGCGTGAAACCACCGCCTTGGAAATGCCGGATCGTGAAAATACCTTCGTCTTAAAGGCTGATAACAATATGGAATATGTTATTGAAGCTCAAAATGCCGAAGAAATGCGTGATTGGTTGGATACCATACGGTTGTGTATGCGTACGCCACCCACACAACAGCCTACCACAGATACCGAGGTAATGGCCGCCGCCATGCAGGCATCTCCGATTATTATTAATCCACAAACTGCGGTGGGAGGTGGCACCACAACGGGAGGTCTACTAAATGCCGTACAAAATCCCCAGTATCATCAACAAAATCCCATGGGCTCAAATGGTAATGTGGCACCGAGTAGTTCACTTTCCGAAAATGCTCTCTCTTCGCTGGCGGCAACCACGGGCGTTGGTGGTGGAGGCATAGGTGATTCCATTACCGATATTGCCTGCAATCCTGCCGCCCATAACATACAACACGACATACAACATCGGCGCGGAGAACAACGTCTTTCCTCCTCGAGTAACATCGAACCATGTGATGGTTTTCAAGATCCCGATGCTGATGTCAATGTGGCCGATATCAGCAATGAAATGCGACAATTCCCCTGGTTCCATGGCACCCTACCCCGATCGGATGCAGCTCGTATGGTCCTACAAAATGAAGCGCAAGGTCATGGTTTCTTCCTGGTGCGTCAGAGTGAAACACGCAAGGGCGAATTTGTATTAACCTTCAATTTTAATGGACGTGCCAAACATTTACGCATGACCCTCTCCGATAAGGGTCAGTGTCGGGTGCAACATCTGTGGTTCCCCACCATACAAGAAATGTTGGAACATTTTCGTCACAATCCAATACCCTTGGAGTCGGGTGGTACCTCCGATGTTACCCTTACCGAATATATACATAATCAAGGAGTTCCTTATATGAATGCACCGACGCCGATGGGTATGGATGTTAATGGTGGCATTGCAACGGCACCAATGGCGGAAAGTGGCAATGTCTCAGTTCCCACAACATTGCCTCCAACTCAAACCCAACAGTCAACGACGCAACAACAACAAGTAACACAACAGCAGCAGCAGCAGTCGCAACAGCAACAACAACAACAAACACAACAGCAAGATCCATCACCGAGACATGTGAGATAGCCTAAATTTTGGAGTCAATTCAGTGTCAGTGATGATTTTTTATTTGAATTTATTTTTATTTTATTATTATTTATTATTTTAAAAATGAATTGATTTTGAGGGACATGCATATTTTTTCAATGTTGAGTTTAGAAGGCTACCAGAGGGGGTAGTTTTTGTAGAAGAGCAAAAGAAAGATTTTGTAGCCATGGCACAATAAGGTAGAGTTTAAAGGGGACAATAGTGCCGAATCGAAGTCTTAAAAGTGGAACACTAAAAGTGAACAAGTGGGACTTTTTACAGTGCGGTCATGACCTTACGCAACCAAGCGACTGAGAAGAACTGTTTAAGGAAAGCAAAAAGGGGAGTTTTTGAAATGCGAGAAATGGGAGTCCTAAAAAGAGACCTCAAAGATGTCTTTTATTAAAAAAAAAGTAGTTTTTCTTGACGGCAGAAACTGAGTCTTAGATGACCAAAGTTAAAATTTTTATGGCGACCTAATAGTTGTTTTTATTAGGACGAAACCTAAGGGGCAGAAACTGAGTCTTAGGTGACCAAAATTAAAAATTTCATGGTGACCTAAAATTTTTTTTTAGGACGAGACCTAAGGGAATTTTTAAAGCGACCAAGGGAGACCAAGATGAATTTTGCTAAAGTGCCCACATGGGAATTTTTGTGGAGCTAATGTAAATATTTCGACCGTCAAAATGGAGTTCAGGAAAGGTTAGCCAAGAGAGCTCCCTTAAGACGAGCAAAAAGTGATTTTTTAGGGTTACCAAAAGATGTTTTTAAGGTTACCAAAAGGGGGTGTCCCTATAGGGGTGTTTTAGCCGAGTTAAAGGTAGCTTTTAAAGGCGACCCAGAGGAACATATTAGATTATCCAAAGAGAGTTTTCTTTTTAGAAAAAAGAAGAATTTGACATATAGTTAAATAGTTGAGTAAACTATATTTTTTTAAATCATGCCTAAGGGTAGTCCCCAAAGGCGGTCAAAAGAGAATATCTTAAGCGAACAAACGAAAGTAAATATAAAATCGATCAGAAGGAGTCTTTTAGGCGATCAAAAGGTGTTCTTAAGGCGTCCAACAATAACAAATAACAAAAAAACATTTCTGTAGATGGCCAGGGGAAAGACACTGTGGCCATAGAAACGGAGTTTTTAAAGACGACCAGTTTGGAGTCTTTTAAGCGATCAAAAGGTGTTTTTAAGGCGTCCAACAACAACAAATAATAGAAAAACATTTTTATAGATGACCTGGCCATAGAAACGGAGTTTTTAAAGACGGACTAGTTTGAATTTTTTATTCTTCATCATTGAAAAAAGTGAGGTTATGAAATTCGTTTTCTTATTTCCAGTTGGGCAATGAAGTGTAACATTGTTTGCCAAAGGCATTACAAAATTTGTAGATTTTTTGGCAATATATGATAGCTTTAGAGAAACCACATAACCTCAAAAAAAAAAAAATAAGCTTAACAAATAAACAATAAGCTTAAAATAAAACAGCCAAGTTTGGCCGGGCCGGAACATTTTTCTGTCATAGGCTGTAGTGTCCATTACAAACTTCAAATACCAAATTTGAAACAATTCCGGTGAATAGTGTCGCTTAAATCTCAAAAATACCGAATATCGGGAGTTGTCGTTATATGGGGGCTATACGAAGACGTGGACCTGCACCGACAAGTTTCTGTCATAGCCTGTAATATCCATTACGAACTTCAAATGCCAAATTTCAAACAATTCCGGTAAATGTCGCTAAAATCATCAAAATACGGAATATAGGGAGTTGCCGTTATATGCGGGTTATACGAAGGCGTGGACCTGCACAGACAATTATCTGTCATAGGCTGTAATATTCATTTCGAACATCAAATACCAAATTTCAAACAATTCCGGTTAATAATGTCGCTAAAATCATCAAAATACGGAATATCGGGAGTTACCGTTATATGCGGGTTATACGAAGGCGTAGACCTGCACGAACAATTTTCTGTCATAGGCTGTAGTATCCCATACGAACTTCAAATACCAAATTTGAAACATTTCCGGTGAATAATGCCACTGAAATCATCAAAATACCGAATATCGGGAGATACCATTATATGGGTGCTATACAAAGACGTGGACCCCCACAAACAATTTTCTGTCATAGGCTGTAGTATTCATTACGAACTTCAAATTGAAACAATGCCGGTGAATAATGTCGCTTAAATCTCAAAAATACCGAAAATATGGAGGTACCGTTATATGGGGGCTATACGAAGACGTGGACCTGCACAGACAATTTTCTGTCATAGGCAGTAGTATTCATTGCGAACTTCAGATACCAAATTTGAAACAATTCCGGTGAATAATGTCGCTTAAATCATCAAATTACCGAATATCGGGAGTTGCCGCTATATGGGGGCTATACGAAGACGTGGACCTGCACAGACAATTTTCTGTCATAGGCAGTAGTATTCATTACGAACTTCAAATAGCAAATTTGAAACAATTCCGGTGAATAATGTCGCTTAAATCTCAAAAATACCGAATACTGGGAGTTGCTGTTACATGGGGCTATACGAAGGCGTGGACCTGCACAGGCAATTTTCCGTCATAGGCTGCAGTATTCATTCCGAACTTCAAATAGCAAATTTGAAACAATTCCGGTGAATAATGTCGCTTAAATCTCAAAAATACCGAAAATAGGGAGGTTCCGCTATATGGGGACTATACCAAAACGTGAACCTACATGGCCCATTTTCAATACCAAAAGTCCTGCAGACATAATGCACATTTGATTAAAATTTTATCAATCTACTTCATTTCTTTCGGAAGCTAGAGTGATTTCCACAGACGGATAGACGGACGGACATCGCTAAATCAACATTGAATTGTATGCTGATCAAGAATATATATACTTTGCTGATCAAGAATATATATACTTTGTGTACATATTTTTCGAGGTATTACAAACGGAATGACAAACTTATATACCCTCCATACTATGGTGGAGGATATAAAAAGAGAGAGAGAGAAAAATATCCAAACATCGTATTTTGGGTAAATGCATTTAAAAATTGTTATATGAACTTTTCATTACTAAATGTCAGATCTAAAGATCATTGGAAATGTGAGATCATGAATTTCGATGGTCTTCCAAAGGGGTTTCATAGTCTAGAGATTGTTTTCCCATATTATTGTCTTACAAATGTGATATTTTAGACAGAACCTGAAAAATTATATATTCCGCCAAAATTGGATTACTAGCCAAATTATTGACGGTGGTGCTCAATAAAGTCATTAACGACTTCTATGGGAAAATCTAAGGGATTTGCTTTTACATAAATTTTGAAAGGCGACCTACATATGACTATAAATATGACGTAGAAGAATTCCCGAGAGTGACTCCTCAATTAGTCTCCTAAATTCCTAGGGATAAATAAGACTTAATAGGCGATCAAAAGGAAGAATTTTGAAGCCAACCGAAAAAAGATTAATAAAAGATCTTGGGGGTCTTTATGAATGTGATGCAGGTGTAAAGTTTTTATAAATCTCAAATGATTATAAATTTATTTATTTCCCCTTTTTGGAAAGAAATTTAATTATGTTTTCTAAAGGATATTAAATTTTTTACTTCATTTTCTTTGTTTTGATTAGTTTTTTTTTTTGTTCTTAAATTACAAGGCATGTTTACAGTGTTTCTTCGTACCGCCGTAGTACTCTCTTTTTAGATCGATCCTACTATTCTTATTCTACTTTCTGACTATTACAATTAGAAACGTGTTCCTTTTTCTTCCAAGTAGTAGAAATTAGTTGCAATTTTCTTTCATTTGTTTTTTTTTTTCCTAAACAACTTTTCATATTTCCTCCTCCATTCCTGTTATCTAATCAAAAACCTCTTGTTGTTATTGTACTTTTCATTGTAGTCACAGGATGTTATCTCCATGAATTGTAGTGTACGCTTAAAAACGAATGAAATGGATTTGGCATTATTATTGGCAGCTGGTGTGGCCACGCGTCATTATCAACATCACAATCATCCTCAGCAACAACAGCAGCAGCAGCTGCAGCAGCATCATCAACAACAACAGCAGCTGCAAACGCAACATCAACAACAAATAACACAGCAAACGACCACGACGACGACGACAGCAACATCAATGGCGGCAGCGACAGCAACAACCGTAAAAACAACGACAATAATAACATCATCATCAGCAACAACAACAACATCATTAACATGCAGTGGTAATGTAACTGCAACAACAGCCAATACTTCTTCCTCCTCTTCCACATTGCCACCGTCGTCATCATCATCCATCATTCCAGTGGCCGCAAACTCAGCCAATACCACAACAGCTGTAACAACACAAAATCTTACCCAACTCCATCAATTCAATGTCTCCGATGCTTTACAATTCGAACAGAACAGTGCATTGATGGGTGCCGGTGCCATTGTTTCACTGCCACCCGAAAATATACGAGACTCTGCCTCACCCACACAATTTGGTGGCATGTCAAATGCAGCCGTGGCTGCGGCAGCTGATCTAAATCAATATTTGAGAGCCTCTAGTGTTTCGCTGCAATCACAGGCCACTACGGGTGGTGGTAGTGGCAGTGGTAGTGCCGGCATTGGTACTGGATCTTCTGGCAGTGGCGGAAGTATGGGCAGTAGTAGTGGTGGTGGTGTTATGCTGCTAACTCAGCAGCGCCAATATCAACAACACATCAGCAGCAGCTACAATGTGGATGCGGCGGCAAGTAGTGCCACTCAGGGTACAACACCCAGAGCTGTTGATAATCAATACAGTTTTGTTTAAAACAGTTTGACGGTCTAACTAACTACTCGAGTTGTTTGGTGGCGGTGAGAAATCGTTGTTATTTGAATTGGCCGGGCAGGGCGAGGTTGGGGCGTTAAATGGGGGAAGGGGGTAAAAGAAGAAGAAGAATACTGATATTCATTGACACACATCACATGCATATTATTTGATATTGGACATAGTAAAAGAATACAGGTAGATGTATCAACGCTTGGGAATATTGAAATTTGTTCGAATGTTTTTTTTTTTTAAAAAATAGGTAAATTTTTTTTACGTTTTTTTGAAAAGAAGTCAAGTGGTGGTTATGATATGCATTTTTTAAACAATTTTAAACGAAATTGAACAATTTTGCATTAAAATTTTCAATTTCAAAATTTGTTTGACAGTTCATTGTCCCAGCAGTTGTGCCAGCATTCTTCTACCATGAAATTGATTAACAAACTTATCTCTCTTTTTTTGAAGGCTTCAGTTTTAAAACATTAGTAGTCAGGAATTAATAGAAACTGTCAAAAAATATGAAATCAATGGTAATTGTATTTAAAAATACATTTCGACAAATGTAGTTTTGAGAATATACACCCTTCATTATAGAAACTGATATCAAAAGATTCTGGGGAAAAAAGTGAGGTTATGAAATTCTATTTTTTTATAAAGTTGTGCAATAAAGTATTGCATGGATTTCCAAAGGCATTTTAAAGTCTAGACATATTTTTTTATAAATATAATTGCCTTACAAGCCAATGGAAAACGAAAACGTAGAACACTTGCACACATAACCTAAAAAATTATACAGCGCTTAAAAAGAAAGAATATACCTTAATATCCTATATTGGGTTATTATATTTCAAAAAATACATTTTGGAATTTTAATTCTGCATATAGCCTCTTTTCATTACTGAAATTCAGATCTGAAAATCATTGAAAAAAGTGAGGTTATGAAATGAAATTTCATATTAAGGTGTGAAATGAAGGCTTACATGATTTCCCAAAGGCAATTCAATGTCTGTAGTTTTTTGTTTATAAATTATAGCCTTACAGAAAGAAGTAGAAGCAGGCGTGGAACATTTACCAACTTTTCACTCAGTAAATATCTACTTTCTATAACTGAATTTCAGATCTGAAGATCACTGAAAAAGTGAGGTTATGAAATTTAATTTCTTATTCAGGTGTACAATATAGTGTTACATGGTTTTTTAAAGGCACTTCCAACGTCTGGAGATTTATTTTCATATATAAAAATTTTCTTATAGAGAGAAGTAGAAGAAGACGTGGAGATCTTTCGAAAGATATTCCATTAACAGAGGAAACATTACAATAACGTCAATAGCCAAAATACCCATTTGAAAGCCTAACTTTTTTGATTTTTAAAAAAGAGATTACACTTTTTAAAAAGAGACTTTTATGTGCCATTTGTTGAATTATTAAAAACAAGTAATTTAACATTTTGTTCATACACTTTTATATTCATTTTTCTTTTTTTTATAACTTCAACAAAACACAACTATTACCCCCCTCTTCTTCCCCCTCATAAAAAGAAAGAAACGAAACAAACAAAAAAAAAATACTTTTGCGGGCTTTTACAACGCTTACAAATAATGCTAAAGAAAATTTTCAATGTAAATTTATAGCTTCCATATAAAAAAATACTTATAAGGCCGTATCTCCATACATAAAAAATTAATATTTTTAGGAAATTTAAGAGAATAAGGGCAAATGAGGCAATGTAAAATGTAAAAATCCTTTAACTTGGCAAAAGCGGGGGAATTTATATCCCCTACCCAATGGGCCCTTTCTCTCTTATATTACTTGGTAAAGCCAGCGTTTGAGACTGTACAGTTTAGGAGATCTTTCCCCATAATTTGTTGTTGTTGTGTGTTTTTTTATAATAATAATAATAAATTATTGGGAGGATTTTCAAAATAAAACTCAATGTTCTTCATTACTGTGTGTTCAAATTATAAATGTTCGTTCTTTTTTCTTTTTTAATTTATATAGAAAACAAAAATTGCATTATTGAAATATTCAAGTCTCTTACTATTTTCTTGTACATATAATGGCTAATCCTCTCTTATTTTTCTCTCTCTCTGTCAAAAACATATATTAACTCCCTTTTTTATAGATATTTTTTTTTTTTTTGTAATAATTTTGCCACACATGAAAAAGACAAATGAAATTTATAATAAATTATAAAGAATCAACAACACAAAACAAACCAGAAAGATTAACATGCAAAAAAAAAGAAACCCACATACATAGATATTTAATAATATTTAAGAAAGTATAACTTGTTCTTAAAATTGTAAGGCTTTAAAGAAGAAAAAAAAAACATAAACGAAAAAGAATTATAAAACCTAATTAAGAAAAAAAAATACTACTATACATAATTTATCCTATACACACACACATATTATATATATAAATATTTATATAAAAGAAATATTAATTAAATTATATAATCTATAATATATAGAAAGAAAAATTATGTTTAAAAACAGAATTATATATTGATAATGCATAGATAAACAAAGAAAGAAAACTAAAAATTAATATTTATTTTTTAATTTATATAACTAAGTTATTTGTATATTTATAATGTGTTATGTACATTTCCTAAACAAAAAATATAATTATAATAATAATAACAAAAAAAGAAAGAAAAATTTAACAAAAAAAGCAAAACAATGTAATTTATATATTTAAGCAACAAAACAAAAAATATACGCCAAATTACAAAATGGAAAACAAAAGGAAAATTGTCATATGTGGTAATAGGAAAAATAATAAGGATAAGAAAAAAAGAAGGTGCAGCGAAAAGTTTTCAACGTTTATTTAACAAGAATCTTATTTGCTAGAAAGCTTTTACTGTAACATCAAATCATTGGTAATTGTATTTAAAAATACATTTCAACATTATGGAAACTTAGTTCGAAAGATTCTTGGAAAAAGTGTTGCGTGGCATTTCAAAGTCTAGATATATTTTTTCATATGTAATTGCCTCATAGGCAGATGGAAAACGAAAACGTAGAACACTTTCACACATAACCTCAAAAATTATATAACTCTTAAAAAGACAGGAAAAATACCTTAATATCCTATATTGGGTAATTTTATTTCAAATAATACTTGTTGGAATTGTCATTCTCTAAATAGCCACTTTTCATTAGTGAATTTCACATCTGAAGATCATTGAAAAAAGTGAGGTTATGAAATTACATTTCTTATTCAGGTGTCAAATGAAGTCTTACATGGTTTTCCAAATTTCAATGTATGTAGTTTGTTGTTCATATATTAGGTAGCCTTACAAAAAGAATTAGAAGAAAACGTGGAACACATAACCTCAAAAATTATGTAACGTTTAAAAAGAGAGAAAAATATCTAAACATCCTTTATTGGGTAATTTTATTGAAAAAATACTTGTTCCAATCTTTCCTTCAAGCTTGGAAATTTCTTCAAGGGCACTGAAGACCTTTTTTATAGATAAAAAACTTTTCAAAGTGCCTTCGATACCTATAAAGTTCTTCAGCAAATCTTCTATAGATAGAATTTTCCTTTGAAAGAGGTTTTGTGAAACCTTTAAAAAGGTTCTTATCCAATGGAGATCTTTTTAAGGGCACTGCTATAGATTGAAGTATTTTTAAAATGCTTGTGTTTTGATGAAAGTCTTTTCCTTTACTTATGGAATAGCTTTTCCAAAAATATTTACAAATTCAAAAGGTTATTTTTAGATGGAAGGCACTTTTAAGGACTTTTTAAAAACACACTTTAAGCTAAAATACTCTAGAAAGTGTTTTCAATGCTCATGGAGTTCTTTATCGTATTTTCTATAGATAAGGCAAGAGACATTTGAAAAGCGGTTAACTGGTAGAAAACATATACCAAAGACTAGTCAAATGTTTTCTAAAAAGGTTCTTATTTAGTTGGAGGCTTCTTTAGTTTCTATAAGGTTCTATAAAAACAATATCTACCTTTTAGAACTTTTCAAAATAACTTCTTTTGAGAGAGTATTTTTCAATGGAAGGTGAAGCAGCAGGTCTTCTATAAATTGTTTGAAATAACCTCCTTATATTGATAAGATTTTAAGATATACTGGTCATCGTTAAATACAAATATAAGACTAATATCAAGTTTCAGAGGCCTCTCAGTAATACTGAAAATCACTGTGAATAAAAAATAATATCCTTTATGGGAAAGAGATCTCTTAAAGGCTATATATTTTGGAAAGAAGAAAGAGGGGACTTACTTCTAAATTTCTTTCTATGAATAAAAGCCAAGGTGTATTTGAAATGCACATTAGCCTATGCGTGTGGCCTGTCCTAATTTTTTTGAGAGTCGACTTATTCATTCCAACATGGCCGAGAATTCCTTAAGGAAATCAGTCAACAGTGTTACTTCCCTGTTTCTGGGGGTAAATGGAAAGCACAAGGTGCCTAAGTATTTGTTGCTTTCGCAGATAAGGTTGTTGGTGTTTTTCTTCTTCTGTGATGATGAATGAAGTAACTGCTAAGATACCCAACTTCCTGGCCATTATCAACAATTACTTCCTTTAAGGCAATCTGACATTATCCTAAACAAGACATGCTTGGCTTTTTACCCTTTCTAGATGTCAGGTATATATCAGGAACTAAATATATCCGTGGAAGGCAAACGTATATCATAGGACATAATCCAAAATTAGGGCGAGGGGTGTTAGACGTAAATGCTAAGATAAATGGCGTAACTGCTAAGATATCCAACTACTTGACCATTATCAACAATTACACTTTTCAGCGCAATTTGATATTATCTCAAGAAATTTATGCCGTCTTTCCTGTCTGGATGCAACACCAAGAACTAGATGTATTCATTGAAAGGAAGCGTATATCCCAGTACATAATCCAGAATAAGGGGGTGGATGTAATATTCGACAACCTTCTCTCTCTTATTTCACACCGCATAAGTATTAAGAAAGCCATCTCTGGGAAGCTGCTTCGCCGAGACATTCCCTACGCCCCTCCGCTTCTTCATAACTTTTACAGAACTATGTTGCAGTGACCTGTAATAACACACCTTACCAGTCTTAGGTCAGACATCGTTGGGGAGAATTGAGTAACTGCTAATCTTGTACAAGAAATTGATCGTATTGCCTCCAGAATGTGCTTCCAGTTGCGTTTTCATTTCATCTTCACAGATCTATTTATCCTTATTGGGTCATGCTACGGCGATCTGCTAATAAGCCCCCTAACTATTTTAGGCCAGACTCCGTTAGGAGTTATAGAGAAAATGTTTGTCGTTTGGAAGGAATTATTCACATTACTGTCGAATCTATCACCAAAGACCATCATAGGAAGAAGATAAGAAAAACCCGTCGTAAATTCGATAGCTATAGATTTTATTATCACAGCCAAAATCAGGTATCTAACTAAACACACATTTACTTGGCTCCCGATTCATTTTGAGCCTTTCCAAATTTTGAAAAAAAAAAAAAAAAACATCAGCAATTTTTCCTAAATTGACATCTAAGCTCACTTTACTACAACTGGTTTGGCAAAGTCTGCATTGTTTTATCATAAAAAGCATGCATTTAAATATTCATCGAAAGCAATCCAAAAATATTGGGAAATTAAAAAGAAAGCCACCTCTGGAAAGTGACACCTAGCGTAGCACAATTTTTTTAGGATCAACCTCTTCAAAGCACCAGACAATACCAAGAAATTGACATTAAACTCCAGAATATGCCTCCAATTGTGTTTCCACTTCATTTTTACAGATCTAAGCCAAATCAGCCACACATTAATTGCCTCCTGATTCACTTTGAGCCTTTCCAATTTTCGAAAAAAGAAACACCACCAATTTGTCTTAAATTGACATCTAACCTCACTTTACTACAACTTGTCCGCATTGTTTTGTCATAAAAAGCATGAATGTAAATCGATTTAAAAAAGTAACCTCTAAACATTCTTTAATAATCCCGCATGCGACAGACACTCGGTCAATAGGATAATACAGAGTGAATGCAATATCTGCCAAATCTAGAGATTTTTAAACACAACAAAATGAGGATGTCACCTTATTCAAATTGAGCCATTTAGAATTTCGAAAAAAAAAAAAAACAACAGCGATTATTCTTAAATTGACACCTAACCTCACTCTACAACCACTTGTTTGGACAAGTCCGCAAACTTTTGTCAAAAAATGCATGAATTTAATTCTAACCATACTTTCTTAATACCACACATGACAGTTCTCCTGTCAACATATTCCTCTACACTAAATGCAAATTAATGTTGTGTGTTTTAGTTGTTTTATTTAAAAAAATAAAAACAAAAAATATAAAACAAATCATTTTCGTTTTTAGTTTAGCTTAAATTATACAAAATTTCAAATGTCAAACCTAAAACGCTTTTTTTCTTATTTAAAGAATCAAAAAAAAATTATAATTATAATATACCATATATTTAGTAAAAATATTAATAATAATGCAAAGAGGTAAATATAAAGCTAAAGAGCTTTAAAAAAATGCATAATAATTAAACTAATGCTATATTATTTATTTTTTATTATTAAACATTTGTAATTAATATTTGCAAGCAAATTAAAAAGCTACAACTACTACTACGACACACTTTATATATATATAAAACAAAAGAAGATTACTAATAATAAAAGATATATAAACAACAAAAAATAAAAGCAAATAATTTTCATCATCATCGTCATGATCATGTATACTATTATGAAACTTAGTTTTAATAATTGCATAAAACAAACAAAACAGAACAGAAAAACGAAATTCATAATAAATTATTTAATATAATATAAAAAATATAAGCAATTGTTTTATTTATTGAGACTCTGTGGATTTTAGATGGACAGATATTAGATCCATGAAAAGACATTCTAAACATTTATCAGAAACCGATTTTAAACTTTTCTCAGGAAACTGTTTTTGAGTTGGAAATAAAGAAAATCCTTTAAGCGTTTTAATAGAAGAACTTCTGGATTGTATTAGATATACCTTTAGACCATGCTCGGGAAAACCTTCTACATTCTGTTCTTCTATTAACTATTAGATCCTCTAGTCTTCTAAAGGAAAATCAATATTCAAAAACACTCTGTTCTTCTAAAAGAAGAACTTCTCATAGTTTTCTTTTAGAATACCTTTCGGAATTCTATAATAAGGTGTTCTGGTCTACTATAAGAAGACACAAGTAGACATTCCGGTCTCCCACAACAAGTCCTTCTTCCCTTCTATAAAAAACCTTCTTTTTGATCTTTTGTTCAAAGTCACTTTGGTCTTCTATGCGAAATCATTTAGTTCTCATTCGAGAATACCTATCGGTTCCCTTCAAGCTGTTAGAAGAGCTCTTGGTCAGTTATTGGTAGACATTCAGGTCTTATATTGGACCTTCTGATCTTCTGAAAAAAGACCACTTGGCCTCCTATAGGTAAACATAGAACTTTTGATCTTCTGTTAAAAGAATATCTCATCTGCTAGTTAAAGACCTTCTAGGCTTTTAATAGAAGAAGGGAAGAAAAACCTTTTTGGCCTCCTTTGAGAATATCTATTGGTTCCCTTTTTGGATTTTTTTAGAAGAGCACTTAGCTTCTAAGAGGACCACTGGCCATCTATAGCAACACCTAAAATGATCTTCTGTTTAAAGAATTTCCCACCTGGTAGTTAAAGACCTTCTAGGCTTTCCATAGAAGACTTTCCGACCTTTTTTGGAAGACTTTCTGATCTTTTATGATTTAACCGATTAGACTTGTTTGCGAAGACTCAGTGTAGCTTCCTTCTGGAAGACTTTTAGCACCACCATTAAATGACATTACAGTCAAGTATTAAAAGACCTTTTATAATGGGATTGTCTAACTCAGTTTTTTTACTTAAAATTAAATGCTAAATTATGAAGGAAAACTTAGAGAATCCCACTACAGGTCTTCTTCTTGCTAGCCCGTGGTTTCAATTGCTAGCCCTTCCTTTCTTCTTTAAATTTTGTTTAGTAGGACCATCTTTTCTTTTATAAGAAAAGTTCTCTACAAGAAGAAGGTCTTATCTTCTATTTAATGACTCCCTCGTCTTCTAATAGAAGACGTGGTCTTTCTAAAAATACTACGCAATCGATTCCATTAAAATCACGCAAAAAACCTCAATTCGAAATCGTAATAAAGATCGATAAATTTATTTTGATATCATTTTGGGGAACAACTCTAGTTTAGTAAAAACTCTCAGATTTTTTCGAAATTTTTTTCCAGAGGTAGGTATTTTTACCCTGATCCCGGGAAACTATTTTTTTCTTGGGGGACGGACCCGGGACCCCAGATTTTTGACCCGAAAGTCCGGGATCAAGACCCCGCCTGGACCCGGATCCACTTACTCCACTTACTTATAGACAATATGGGTATCGATTGAAAGCTTATGGAAATACCTATCCAACAAGTGGTCACATGAAGGGGTAAGTTGTCATGGTTCGGAAGTTATAGTCAAATTATCGATTTTTTGGACCCGAATTTTTTATGAAACCCCCAAAAAGTCAAAAAAGGGCCCATTATGGGGGTCAACAAAATTGTTTCCAAATTATAGCTGACACTCTTACCTTTCCAAAATGCTACAATTTGTGCTAATACCTTTTTCGGGTCCAGAGATATGGGTCTTTCCATCCGCATAACCCGATTCTAACCAGTTCATTAAAATGATGTTTTTAATAAAAAAGTGTTTATTTTGCGTAGCAGTCGCCGGAATAACAAAAGTTTTCTAAATTTGGCACTTATTGTAAATAGCCGGCCTTCGGCCGGGGCTTGAGATTTTCACCTATGGGTATGTCCGACACCGGCTAACGCGAACAAAAGGTTCATAATTTGGCACTTTTTGTAAATAGCCGGCCTTCGGCCGGGGCTTGAGATTTTCTCCTCTGGGTATGTCCTACACCGGCTAACGCGAACCAAAGTTTTCTAAATTGGATACCTTTTGTAAGTAGCCGGCCTTCGGCCGGGGCTTAAGATTTTCTCCTCTGGGTATGTCCTAAACCGGCTAGCGCGAACCAAAGTTTTCTAAATTTGACACTTTTTGTATATAGCCGGCCTTCGGCCGGGGCTTGAGATTTTCTCCTCTGGGTATGTCCCACACCGGCTAACGCGAACCAAAGTTTTCTAAATTTGACACTTTTTTTAAATAGCCGGCCTTCGGCCGGGGCTTGAGATTTTCTCCTCTGGGTATGTCCTACACCGGCTAACGCGAACCAAATTTTTCTAAATTGGATACCTTTTGTAAGTAGACGGCCTTCGGCCGGGGCTTGAGATTTTCTCCTCTGGGTATGTCCTACACCGGCTAACGCGAACCAAATTTTTCTAAATTGGATACCTTTTGTAAGTAGACGGCCTTCGGCCGGGGCTTGAGATTTTCTCCTCTGGGTATGTCCTAAACCGGCTAACGCGAACCAAATTTTTCTAAATTGGATACCTTTTGTAAGTAGCCGGCCTTCGGCCGGGGCTTGAGATTTTCTCCTCTGGGTATGTCCTAAACCGGCTAACGCGAACCAAAGTTTTCTAAATTTGACACTTTTTGTATATAGCCGGCCTTCGGCCGGGGCTTGAGATTTTCTCCTCTGGGTATGTCCCACACCGGCTAACGCGAACCAAAGTTTTCTAAATTTGACACTTTTTTTAAATAGCCGGCCTTCGGCCGGGGCTTGAGATTTTCTCCTCTGGGTATGTCCTACACCGGCTAACGCGAACCAAAGATTTCTGAATTTCATTCTTACGCAAAATATACCTTTTTTTATTGAAAACATAGTTTTAATGAACTGGTAAGAATCGGGTTATGCGGATGGAAAGACCCATATCTCTGGACTCAGTGAAGGTATTAGCACAAATTGTAGCATTTTGGAAAGGTAGAAGTGTCAGCTATAATTTGGCATCAATTTTGTTGTCCCCCATAATGGACCCTTTTTTGACTTTTTGGGGGTTTTATAAAAAATCCGGGTCCAAAAAATCGATAATTTGACTATAACTTCCGAACCGTAACATCTTACCCCATCATGTGACCACTTGTTGGATAGGTATTTTCATAAGCTGTTGTTGGATAGGTATTTTCATATTGTCAATATCGGGTAAGTGGATCCGGGTCTAGTCGGGGTCTTGAACCCGGACTTTCGGGTCAAAAATCTGGGGTCCCAGGTCCGTCCCCCAAGAAAAAAATAGTTTTCCGGGATCATGGTTAAAATAACTACCACTGAAAAATGTTCAAAAAAATTGAAGAGTTTTTACTAAACTAGAGTTAAGCCCATTTTGGTTGCTAACTTGCCGAAAAATTTCTTAAATTTCGGCATTCTATCATCCACTTGTCTTCTATTAAAGGACTTTATTGAAAATCGCCCAAATAAACTCAATTTGAAATCGTAATAAAGGCCCTCTCATTGGCTCATTCATCTGTAGTTCTTCTAATAATCCAAAAATGAACAACTTTTATTTAACTAGTTCACATGGTTCTCTCAATGAATCACTCGATTGAACCCCTTGTTTTTATAAACTCTCAATTGCGTTTTGTTGTCGTTTGATTTTGTTTCTCAAACTTTCACTTGTTGGGGTTTGCTGGCTGGCTGCTAGCTACCTCTCACCGTTGTATGGAAATGTGAGTTTGATTAGCAACTTCTTAAAAAAGCAAAGCGCGTACTTGAAGACTGAAGACAAAAAAAAAAAAAAAAAAAAAAAAAAACAATACGCTAGCTATGGAAAGAGTTCATTTACTGGCACGATAAACAAGTAACAGCACGTACACGGCAGCATTTGGTGATCAGCGGCGACGAGCGACACTGCATTGTACATAGCAGCGGCATTCATTTGAAGCATCAGCAAATTTTATCATAAATCGCTCAACCCCCAACCCAATTCCATCATCCAGACCACAACATTCATTAACGGAAATGTCTTTAAGGCAACGCACAAATAATAACAACAATAATAATGTCGTGGAAGGCAGCACAGCATCCCCGGACAACACCCACACTACAGCGGATTCGAATAAGAAAAATGCCGAGCAACAGGAACGTACAAATCCTATGGTGTACATAGTTTTCATATCCCTTCTATTTGATTTGTTGGCATTTACAATCATTTTGCCGCTGCTGCCATCGTTGTTGGAATATTTTAAAAATAATGACAGTTCCGGTTTGTATGCAGTGCTAACGGATCGCATAAAATGGTTTCAAGAATTGGTCGGTGCGCCGGATCGCTACAATTCGGTGTTGTTTGGTGGCCTGTTGGGTTCCATGTTTAGCTTTTGCAGTTTCTTGGCTAGTCCCATTGTGGGAGGGCTGTCGGATTGCTATGGCCGTAAACCGGTTATTATATTGTGTGCGGTAGGTTAAACGATTGAAAACGTATTAGAGATTTTTGTTATTTTAACAATATTTTTTTTTTCTTTAAGGCTGGCATTGCTTTATCGTATTTGCTGTGGGCATTTTCCCGCAATTTTGCTGTCTTTGTTTTGGCCCGTTTTGTTGGTGGCCTTAGCAAGGGTAATATATCGTTAAGCATGTCCATTATCACAGATGTTAGCAGCGGTAAAACTCGTGGCCGTGGCATGGCCTTGGTGGGAGTGGCATTTTCACTGGGCTTTATTGTTGGACCAATGATTGGTGCTTTGTTTGCCATATTTTCGAATAAATCAACTGGACCATGGTTTGTTTTGCCATCTCTGCTGGCGCTGGCATTGGCTTTGGGGGATCTGTTGATTTTGGTGTTTTGTTTGAAGGAAACATTGCCCAAGGTAAGTGAGCTGAAAATATCGCATAGTTAATGAAAAATGTTGTTGAAGGTCATACATTGATACAGTCCTTGGGAAATACAGCAGGCCGTCTTGAAAACCAATGAACAGAGGAGAAAAAATATCTACAATAGATAAAAAACTAGACGATTTTTTTGTAAAACATTTATATAGAGGTATCTTATGAATTAACAATCTTCTAAAAGCATACTATAGGTAGAAAAGCCAAATCTCTTCTATAGCTAGATATTTCGTAAAGATTCAAGGCGGTTACAAATCTTCTGTAGAGTGTTTTAGAGCACCTTTAAATATTCCTCGAAAAATGTTAAGGTTTGAGGATCTTCTAAAGGTATACTGTAACTCCAAATCTAAATCTCTTTTAAAGATATATTTTTTAGATTCAACAGATTTTGGGGATTTTCTGTAAATGGAGGGTGTTTTAGGGATACTCTATAGATAAAGGACCTTTAAGTATTCCTCGAAACAGACATGTGCAAATAGATAGGACTTCTAAGGTTGTACTGAAAATAAACACATTTTGATATTTCTTCGATATAGGCAAAGGTCGACTGTAAATAGAATACCTTGTAATGGTTGAGTCGTAACTTCTATATACATACAGGGTGAGATAAAAAACTGTAACAAAGTCAAACGCCATAACTTTTACATTTTTTTAAAATTTATAATAAATTTAGATTTGTTCGAATCGGTCACCTTTTGCACGAATTTTGGCCTTCAAACGGCCAATGAAACCGCTGCCCGAGCTGGAAATGAAGCGAGGAACCTCATTTTGTAACTTTTCTTGGGAGGCGCGTGCTGGGTCCTGTTGGAATGTCCAAATGTTTGCGTGCCCAAGGCTTTAATAAACCCTCCAGAATATTTTCGAGGTAATTTTCGGCATTTATTCTGATGCCACGGTCGATTAATACGATCGGAGAGCGACCATCGGCTGTTATGGCGGCCCAAACCATCACCATGGCCGGCGCTTGAGTTCTGGTGGCCAACCGAAGGTGCACATTTTCAGCTGACCTCTTTGGCAAGTAAACACGATCATTTTGTTTGTTTACAAACTGCTGGACAAGGGGACAACGAATGTTTTCTCATCGGATAGGAGAAAACCAAATTCGGCAGTTAACCATTTTCGTTCGGCCAAGCGAAACAACTCTTTAGCTCTCTTTAGTCTATTTTCTTTCTGTTGCAGTGTAAGTTCTTGCTCTTTTTGTAATTTCAATGGCTAATGGCTTTACCGCGAGCTCATTTTTCAATATTTACCGAATGGAATATTGCGATATGTTCAGCTCATGAGCCATTTTTCGGCCATTGCGACGCGCGTTTCGATCAAGTCGCTTCTTTACTTTTCGAACCATTTTTGGCGATGTTGCTGTTTTCTTCCGTCCACTTCCTTGACGTCGAGCTACGCTACCAGTAGCACGGTAACGAGCGAGCGTGAGCGAGACACATAAGATTTATTCACATTTAAATGCTGCAGTGCTCTAACGATAGCCACTTGTGCTTTTCCAGCCAAATATAAAGAAATCACACTATCACACTTGAATTCCATTACGAATAACTTTTTTTCTGGAAAATTCTCACCATAATGCTTTTGTACGCTTGTAAACAATATAATGAGCTGTCACTGGAATAATTTTAACAGCTGTGGGACGAGTGGCTAAGAAATGACAGCATGTTGAAATTGGTTTCAGTTTTTTTCATCTCACCCTGTACTTAAAAATGCCATATAATCTACTGATGACAATGGTAACTGTATTTTATTCTGTGATAAATTTCTAAAAAAGTCATTCACTCCATGGTAGAAGATCAAAAAAGCTACTTCGTTGTAGACGACCCAGAGTATGATAACTTTGCGGTAGATGATGATGTCCTAGGTGATCAAAAATATCATCTACTCTTTTGTAGACGGCCCCCGAATATCATAACTTTGTCGTAGATTACCTAAAATGACATCTACACTTTTGTTCATCCCTAAAAATATATTTAACTCCCCAGTAAATGGCTAAAATAGCTTTCATTCTGCAGTAAACTATTTTCTAGATTCCCAATAATGTTATCCAGTTGACCCAAAAATTTCATACATTTTCAATGACCCTATATTTTTTCCATTGACCCACCTTTTTAAAAATGCTTATCTATTAACTCTAACTAATAAATTCAATTATCATTTTTTTAGGAAAAACGCGTCAAGGAAATCTCTTCTTCGATGTCATATGCCTTTCAATTGATCAATGTTTCCTCTATCTTTCGGTGAGTAATTCTTTTTTTTTTAATTCATTTTAATTGCCTATGCGCAAGGTTTGTAGCACGTTTTTCTTTCAAATGAATTCTTGACTATCATTATCTGTCTGACTGCTATCTGAATAGAAGCCACAGTCTTTTTAAAACAACAAAAACAACATTTAAATTAAATTATTGATTACCGCCAGAAAATGAAAGCAATGTACTCTCCCCCTATGGAGTCTATGCAAAGTTAGTTAAATGAATCAGCGGCATTTTGTAACTTGGCCACCACCGCATATTTTGTATTTCTTATCTGAATTTAATTTCAAGCAGCTTATAATCTGATTACTTTTATATTGGCCAATGCTTTTGATGTTAGAAGAAAGAGTTTGATTTACAACACTCTTGTCTGTTCTATGTCATATTTGCTTGAAAAAGATATTGTTATGGTGGGGGGAGGGTTTAGCCGGCGTTTTTTGTTGCATTTGATTCATATGATTTCATAACTTAACATATCAAGCGTAAAACATTGATTGTAATTTAATGCCTCAATGAAGAGATACATACAGGGTGAGGCAAAAAAACTGTAACAATGTCAAACGCCATAATTTTTTATTTTTATTTTTTTTTTTTAATTTTATTGAACAAAAGCAAAAACGTCGGATATAGCATTAAATTTTAAAATAAATTTAGATTTGTTCGAATTGCTCACCTTTGGCACGAATTAAAATCAAACGGCCAATGAAACCGTCACACGCTGCCCGAATGTTGCTCTGTTGGTAATTTGGCTCGGCGAAGCGCTTGCTTGAGGTGATCGACACTTTGGTATATTTTAGTGCCAACCTTACTCTCCAAAATACTCCAACCACGAATAGTTCAACGGATTGGTATCCGGAAATTTTGTTGGCCATTGTGAGCTGGAAATGAAGCGAGGAACCTCATTTTGTAACAATTCTTGGCGCGTGCTAAGTGCGATGGTGCTGAGTCCTTTTGGAATGTCCAAGGTCTGCGGCCAACATGTTTGCATGCCCAAGGCTTTAATACCCAGACCCCAAGAATATATTCGACTTTTATTCTGATGCCACGGTCGATTAATACGAGCGGAGAGCGACCATCGGCTGTTATGAAGGCCCACACCATCACCATGGCCGGCCACGAATTGATGAAGACGTGCGCGACGCCTTCCCGGCGTGTGATACAGGCCCGCACAAGCTAATTGCACAGCCAAACCTACCCAACTCACTCCAGAAGATCTCTGGCTACAGCCCATTAAAGTAGCCGAATTTCTAAACCTGTAGCTGGAACCAGATAAGCAGGATGCAAACACTTGCATGTACTACTGCTGCAACAACAACTATGGCCAACACTTGAGTTCTGGTGGCCAACCGAAGGTGCACATTTTCAGCTGACCTCCCTCTTTGGCAAGTAAACACGATCATTTTGTTTGTTTACAAACTGCTGGACAACGAATGTTTTCTCATCGGAGAGGAGAAAACCAAATTCGGCAGTTAACTGTTTTCGTTCGGCCAAGCGAAGCAACTCTTTAACTCTTTTGAGTCTATTTTCTTTCAGTTGCGGTGTAAGTTCTTGCACTTTATGGAATTTTTATGGCTTTACCCCGAGCTAATTTTTTCATATTTTCCGAATGGAATATTGCGATATGTTCAGCTCAAGAGCCATTTCGGCCACTGCGACGCGGGTTTCGATCAAGTCGCTTCTTTACCATTTTCGAACCATTTCTGCTGATGTTGGTGTTTTCTTTCCTCCACCTTCTTGACGTCGGGCTACGCTACCAGTATCACGGTAACAAGCGATGGTACGAGACACAAAAGATTTATTCACATTTGAATGCTGGAGTGCTCTAACGATAGCCACTTGTTGTCGTTTTCCAGCCAAATATAAAGAAATCGCACTATCACGCTTGAATTCCATCACGAATATCTTTTGAGTTCTGAAAAATTCTCACCAAAATGCTTTTGTACGCTTGTAAACAATATAATGAGCTGTCCCAGGAATAATTTTAACAGCTGTCAGACGAGTGGCTTTGAAATGACAGCAGTCTAAATTTGGTTGCAGTTTTTTTTCATCTCACCCTGTCTTCAAGACTTTAATAGTTCCGAAAATGACGAAGTATAAAAAGGTGTTTTTTTAAAGCATTACTATTAAAGTCTACACTGTTTCGATAGTGGAGATTTCGGGGAATTTTCAAGGAAGTCTACAAAATCTTAAATCCAAGACCTCAAGTCTCCAATTATCTATTAGGGATTTTTTAAGAAATCCAGAAGAATAAAGAATATTTTTTCAAGGACCAAAAGACCATCAAACGTGGATTTTTTAAAGAATATTTTTTCAAGGACCAAAAGACCATGAAACGGGGATTTTTTTAAAGAATATTTTTTCAAGGACCAAAAGACCATCAAACGAGGATTTTTAAAGAATATTTTTACAAGGACCAAAGACCATCAAACGTGGATTTTTTAAAGAATATTTTTACAAGGACCAAAGACCAGCAAACGTGGATTTTTTAAAGAATATTTTTCAAGGACCAAAAGACCAGCAAACGTGAATTTTTTAAAGAATATTTTTTCAAGGACCAAAAGACCATCAAACGTGGATTTTTTAAAGAATATTTTTTTCAAGGACCAAAAGACCATTAAACGTGGATTTTTTAAAGAATATTTTTTCAAGGACCAAAAGACCATCAAAAGTGGATTTTTTAAGAATATTTTTTCAAGGACCAAAAGACCATAAAACGTGGATTTTTTAAAGAATATTTTTTCAAGGACCAAAAGACCATCAATAGTGGATTTTTTAAAGAATATTTTTTCAAGGATCAAAAGACCAGCAAACGTGGATTTTTTAAAGAATATTTTTTCAAGGATCAAAAGACTAGCAAACGTGGCTTTGAAATGACAGCTGTCTGAAGTTGTTTGCAGTTTTTTCATCTCTGCATTGTTCTATTATCATTTCTTGTTTCTTTCTTTCTTTTTTTCTCCTGTTTTTTAGATTTGCTTCCATCAAAAATGTACCCCAGAAACAAATCAAGTCTTTGCAAACAATTGGTATCATTTACTTTGTCTATTTGTTTCTTTATTCTGCCTTGGAGTTTACCGTTACATTCCTAATGTATCATAAATTTGGCTATACATCCATGGATCAGGCTAAAATGTTTTTGACAACAGGTAAGTTATACCCTGACAACACACACACTGAAATTTGTTAAAATAAAAATAACTTTTTTTAAAAAATTTCTTTGCCTTTGATTTCTGAAAAGTATCCGAAAACCTTCTAATAAATCTTCTCCTCCATTTCAGGTATTATCATGACAATATTACAAGGCTCTGTGGTAAGGCGTCTACCCGAAAAGGATATTAAAAACTATGCAGTATTCAGTTTATATTTATTGATTCCGGCCTTTGCCATTGTTGGCATTGCCCACTGTACATGCATGCTATACATTGGCATGATATTGTATGCCATATGTAAGTGTCAAATATTGACATTATGGTAGAAGAATAAAGGTAGACGCATTGACACAGCTGCTGTGACATGAGCTGTCAAACCAATTTGCGAATTGAAATTAAAATTTTTCAATGAAAAATTCTTCAAAGTTGAAAAATTGTAGACAAAAACGCAATTATAATAACCTGACTTTGACGTCTTATAAGAAAACATATAAAAATCGACTTATATTTGAAAAAAAAACAACATCAAACAATTATGACATATCAATGTTCCCAAGCCTGTATTCTTCTACCATGTTTGATACACTTCTTCCCAAAAAGACACTCATTGAAATTTGTTGTTCTTCCCCCCACAGCCACTGCATTTACGGTCACCTGCCTTACCACCCTCGTCTCCAAATATGGCAATGACGATCAGAAGGGCTCAGTTTTGGGTATTTTCCGTTCTTTGGGTGCTTTGGCCCGAGCCATGGGACCCGTCGTCGGTTGCATTGCCTTCTGGTGTATTGGCTCGAAATTAACCTATGTTAGCGGTGGATTGCTATTGCTTATACCCGCCTATGTTTTGCAGAAAACTCAACTTGCATAAATGCTTGCGTTTCCATTTGTGCTTCCATGTTGTAACTTTATGAAATTATATAACATGCTTTTTCTGTATTATATACACACACATATATGCGCGAAACTGTTTAAATGTATTATTTAGTACTTATTTATATATTTAAAAACAAACATTAAATGCCTTTTTTATATACTTTATATATATACTATATGTAGAAAAACTATTTTTTATAAATAAATATTTATTATATAATATAAAATATAGGAAATTTACATTGTGTGAGGTTATAATAGGACTACATGGGAGAGTTATTAAGGGGTTTCAATAACTAGACAATCCATATAAATCCTATCTGTGGAGAGGCAATAGAAGGTCAGCTATTACCACAAAACCTAAAGAGGTTCTCGTCTACGAAAAAAAGTCTGTTTCCCAAAACTGCAAGAATGTTAAACTACAGAGTGAGATGAAAAACCTGCAACCTACTTCAGACTGCTGACGTCAAGGAAGTGGACGGAAGAAAACAGGAACATCAACAGAAATGGTTCGAAAAGTAAAGAAGCGCGTCGCAGTGGCCGAAAACTGGCTCGTGAGCTGAACATATCACAAAATTCCATTCGGCAAATATTGAAAAATGAGCTCGTTGTAAAGCCATTGAAATTCCAAAAAGTGCAAGAACTTACACCGCAACAGAACAGAAAGAAAAAAGTACTGAAAGGAGCTAAAGAGTTCCATCGCTTGGCCAAAAGTGGTGAACTACCGAATTTGGGCTGGCTCGTGAGCTGAACATATCATAAAATTCCATTCGGCAAATATTGAAAAATGAGCTCGGTGTAAAGCCATTGAAATTCCAAAAAGTGCAAGAACTTACACCGCAACAGAACAGAAAGAAAAAAGACTGAAAGGAGCTAAAGAGTTCCATCGCTTGGCCAAAAGTGGTGAACTACCGAATTTGGTTTACTATTCTCCGATGAGAAAACATTCGCTGTCCAGCAGTTTGTAAACAAACAAAATGATCGTGTTTACTTGCCAAAGAGGTCAGCTGAAAATGTGCACCTTCGGTTGGCCACCAGAACTCAAGCGCCGGCCATGGTGATGGTGTGGGCCACCATAGCAGCCGATAATCTATTAATCGACCGTGGATTCAGAATAAATGCCGAATATTATCGCGAAAATATTCTGGAGGGTGTATTAAAGCCTTGGGCACGCCAACATCTTGGCCGCAGACCTTGGACATTGCAAGAGGACTCAGAAAGCGCCACCCTAGAATGGTTACAAAATGAGATTCCTCGCTTCATTTCTCCGGATACCAATCCGTTGGACTATTGTGTCTGGATTATTTTGGAAAGGAAGATTGGAACTAAAAAATACTAAAGGGTCGATCACCTCAAGCAAGCGATTCGTCGGGAATGGACCAAAATGCCGCAGAACAACATTCGGCCAGAGTGTCACGGTTTCATTGGCCGTTTGAAAGCCATAATTCGTGCCAAAGGTAACCAATTAGAACAAATATAAACTTATTCTAAAATTTGATGCCATTTCCTACATTTTTTTGCTTTAATTAAATAAAATTTAAAAAAAGAAAATGTAAAAAATATGACGTATCAAGCCCTGTATGCAGTTTTTTGTCTCACCCTGTATTTATAATAAAATATAATAATAAACATTACCTCAATAATTGACCAATCACAATAAATCAAATTCGTATGTAAACGTACTTTCACCTTCTTAATTCTAGTATCTTTATAGCCTAATCCTGTTGATTGTTTATTTAATATTACTACTTACACCTATCACAGCTTGAAAAAATATATATCTTCATCTTTTCTTTCTTCAAGATTTTATTTCATAATTTTGTTTTAAATTATGTTATTTAACGCACCCATTACTCCCATCTCTGCCACCCATTGTCTACTACTACTACGCAAATTTACATCTCTCGTATGATAACACCACAATACAACTCTGCGATGACAGCAACGAACCAAATACGAACTGGTACAGCAGAAACGAATTTTTTCTCGTCGGCGAAAAATCAAGTCGCAAAAAGGCATAGAAAAAAAGGTGATTAATTCCTATTCACGTTGGAATGAATACATGAAAGAGTTTTCAATAAAACTATAGAAAAAGAAAAAATACCATCAAGAATTGTTGCACAAACGAGTGCGTTTAGTTAAATTGTTAAAGAAAGTGTTTGCAATTGTGTGTGAGAGAAGAAAAAACGAAACGGGAAAAAGTAGAAAAAACAAAGAAATACAATCTTCAATTCCATTTTTTTTTGCAAAAGAAAGTGTGTGTGATTACAAAGAAGCAAGCAAAAGCAAAAAAAGTAACCGCCCCGTATTCTTGTTCATTTTTCGTTGGTTTTTCACTTATTTTTTTTATGCTAACAACAAAAAAATTAACATAGCAATTTTTTTCTCTTCTTTCTTTCTTCAATTCTTTGACGGAATTTTTGTCGATTGTCTGCGCGGCGCTGACGATGATGTTGTTGGTTGCCTATGTTAATCATTGACTTCATCGCTCGATCCCTGTCGCTGATGATGATTTCGTACGGTGTTTCTGTTTAATTTTAATAATTTTTTTTTTGATAATTTGGGGCTGCTGCACTTGTAACTAACTACGCGCTGCGCTACATCAAATCACAATCCCCAACGAACAACGACGACGACGAATCTTCAATAAAAACAACAACAATAACGTACTACATTGCTTCTCTTGTTATTTTGTGCCTGTGATTCCCTTTGTTGTGCTCGTCGTTTGCTGCTGCCTGCTTTCTGCTGCTGCTGCGGGTTGACGACTGTAATGGTGTTGGTTGGTGTGTGAGTTGTGATTTGGATTTTCTGGTTTTTTTTGGTCACATCACATCAAACTGCATTTATTCTTTTGTTTTTCTTGAAAAATATCCTTTGTTAGAGAATATCCAGTAAGAAAAGAAAAGGAAAATAAACAAGTAACCAAAAACAAGAGAAAAGAAGAAATTTTTAAAACGGATTAAGAATTTAAACGAAGCTTTTTGGATATTGTTCTGTAGTAGCTTCGTTCACGAAATCTTCTAACAAAATCTTAACAGAGAAGAAGAAAAACCAGCAGCAGCAAAAACAACAACACACAACAAAATGGGCACAAGGGAAGATGAGTACGATTATTTATTCAAAGGTAAATATAAGTCTAATTGGAAAAAAATGTGTAATATAGTATATTGTGTAAACTTGTTTTTAAGTTGTGTTTTTTTAAGTGAAAATGTCTTATCTATCTCTTCTTCTATTTTCATATTTAATTATTACTCATATTTTCTCTTTTTTTTCGTCGTGTTTATTCATTGAATTTCTAATGCAAAAAAGGTGAAAAAGCATTCCAGCAATGGATATTGACGCACGGTTGACTATCAGTTAGAAAAAATAGAGTTGCCAGATGTGAGAGTTTAGGAAATGTTGTGGGGAGAATTAAATGAAGATTTTTTTTGTTTCATTTATATGACATTTATATAATTGTTAATTTAATGACCAGTTTCCTATAAGAATGACCCAATCAATTTAGGGAATTTATATGAATTTTCATTTTCTCATGGATATCAGCTGAATATGTTTAAAGTTCTTCCTTAAATAAATAAAACATTTATGCCATGGTAGAAGAATACAAGTAGTGAGTGCATCAATGCTTCGGAACATTGATATGTCACATTCTTTTTTTTTTTCAAAAAATATTAAGATTTCTTTATGTATTCTTATACGATACCAATCCGAATTTCTTATATATTTTTTTCAATGTAACGAAGTTGAATAATTTTTCGTTAAAATTTTTCAATTCAAAATAGGTTTGACAGTTCATTTCCCCAGGAGGGTATAAACAGATACATATAGAATGCTAAAGTTGCATCTCAGTCATTTCGGTATTTTTTTTTCAACAAGGGCCCCTGGCAGTATTTTAACTGTAACAGGTTTTTTGAAAAGCTATAATAAATTAAGGAAATAAACATACATTTAAGAAAAATGTAGGAATTCTTTAATTGAATAGAACGGATCATAAATGCTCTGTTCCCGAACTGCAAGAATGTAAAAGTTTTTCAATCCAATCAAGGTTTGAAGAAATTATTTTTTAAAGAAAAAATACAAACTTTAGAATAGCTGAGGGTCTACAGACGTCCTGCGTCTTCCCTAGATGTGGATCCGAATCTGGACACATATGGACAAACATATCTATTAATTTCTAGTATCAGCGCCTATTTTATGGTAGGCAATTTATTTGCAGCTTCTCAATCGTCTTTAGAAAAATTTCGTCTTTAATTTTTTACTGCCTTTTCTGACATTATTTCCATTTTCTATCTCTTCCCTTACTCATCTCTTCTACTTGCCTTATGTAAATTGCGTTTAATTCGATCGTGAATCTTTTTTGTGGGTATTTTTCATTTTTGTGCCACATTTAATTAATGATGGCAACTCTCTCTCTATAGGGTTTATTTAGAGTACGATGACGTACATTCTTTTTTTGTTCATGTTTTCTCTTCACTACTTTTAGCTGTTCTTTCCCAAAAACAATAAGTTTAATTGTTGAAGTCATTAGCCAATTTATGGCTTGTTTTTGTTGTAGTTGTCTCATATTCAAATATGAGCACACTTTTCCCCTGTGTGTTCTTTAGAAGGAAAAAAAATAATGTGTATGAAAGTTTGTTCTCCTTTGTTATCCGGATCATTTAATTATATGCAGCAGTAGCTGCAAAGAATGCCATGCCATGCCATGCAATTTTTCTTTATTGATAAAAATCGTGTTTAATTCTTGTTCCACCCACACTCTCTCGTGTAAGCTCTCGCCTTTTTTTCAAAATTCTCTTCCGCTCTTTCGCATTGTGTGCTGCTGCTGGTGGAACTTCACATCATTTGATTAGCTTTTATTATGAGTTATTATAGTTTGTTTTTTATGACACGTTGCATAAACTCGTTTCCATTTGTTTTATTCTTTCTTTTTTTATTTTTGCTTGGTGGCTGCCAGTCACTACTCAGCTGATTTGTTGTGTGTTGGTTCTTCAACTATTGATGTTTTTGCCATCTGTCATTCACTCATCCACACTCACTCTCTGACTCTCTATGTTGTGTGGTTCAAATGTGTTGGTGTTTGAGAAGAAGGTGTATGATGGTGGGGTTTGCTTTTTTTTAACTCCCCATGTCATGTCACATCTACTTTCTTTTTTCTGTTCTCTTCGTCGTCGATGAGCAGTGGCGGCAGTTGTATGCTCTTGTTGCCTAAATTTTCATGTAGTTGCTTGCCCATTGACCGTTCATCTTATCTTGAGATATTTATTGATTAGATTTAAAGAAAAATTAAATCAGTGTGTAAATAAATCTTTAATTTGTGGTGGACATTTTACGGAGTAAAAAAAGTCACCGTTTTGGGTTCACATTTGAAAATCAAAGAGCTGCTTGCTTGTTGATTGCAGGAACCGTCAGTAAAATGTATGCTGCCAATTTTAGTTGAAGTTGCCAAATACAATTTAACCTATATTTTTCGTAATGCAAAGGGGGGAGGTGATTCAGGAAATCCTTGACAGTTCTCCTAGACGTCACAAAAATACAAATGCCATGGCATAAAAACAAATGGATTTTAAATTTCATATCATGCCTAATTCACATGAAGAGACATGCAAGAAAATGCAATTGGAAGCTTTCTAAGTGGAATTTCTAAATAGGTTCCAATTTATTTAGCATAAATGCCAAGCAAACCTCACATTTTCTATTACTTTTATGGAATATTTAAAACACACGTCCACAAAACAACCAAAATTATTTAAGTATTTTATTTTTGTTAAATACTCTCTTGTCGCCATGTAATAATATTGTCGTATTTATAAATATTCATCCGATTTGTAACAAATTAAATTGAAAAAAAAATCATGAATCATATTCCAACACTAAACTGAAATCCAATTCATTATTGCGTTAGCACTGTGTGGCTATTTTCATCATATCAGCTGGCGGTGATAAGCATATTATGCATGCGATAGCGAATTTAGTTATTCATTCCAAGGGTCATAAAGATATTCAAATTATCAAATTGATTTATATGAGATACATATAACACGAAGTGGTGCCGTCCAGAAGTTACCTTTTGAAAAATGAAACAACTTGGGCTTCTGTGTTCCTTTTCCGAAAAGGTAGACTTTTGATTTTAAAAAAGGATGAGTCCACAATGCTGTGTTGGGGTTAGGTTCAAGACTGTAACCAATTCTTTCGGAGACCAATGACCGTTTGTGTATAACCTGTAAGTGACATGAAAATAATGAGTGGTCTAAGGATAGGCAGATAGAAAGATGATACAAATTTTAGAAAATGAGGTTAAAAATTGGAGGCTCCAAGAGTGTGTTTCCCATTAAATTAAAGAAAATAACCATGCCTGATATGACAGGTCAGTTTAATGAAGCATTTCTTATAGCGTTGGACCACTGTCTCTGAATCGTGTGTGGGTGGGGGAGTTGTATACACCATACCCCTTTTGATCAGTACAATATACAAGTCAGCTGTTCTCAATTTTGTGGTGATCCAATATAAATTTATACCTGCATTATCCTGCTCCCAGTTGGTATTCTGGTTTGTCGAGACAGCTGGCATTCTTTTGCTGCAATTGTGCGAAATATCGTAGATATCGGGTGAATATTATGGCATTGACTGATGCTAGATGTAAAACCAGGCGAAATTTTTGTATGGGAGGTACATCTAGTAGTTAGCGGGTAATTATCTGTTCCATATTTTCCTGGAAAAGAATACCAATCCAAAATGCGATTGTTGAACAAATAAAATACAAAACAAATGCTAATTTTTCAAGGGTATTGCACAGAAATTTATACTGGATTCAAATTGATTCATAAGATTGGTAAAGAATGCAGCGTGTCCGGGACATGCGTTGAGTACATGTAACAATTAAACATTGGAAAATGATTTGGAGGTGTCCTGTTTTGAATGATTGGAAATTGCCTATTTTTATTATTTGTTTTACAATGGATTAGGCGGAGATTTTGTTTTAATCATTTCTGCAAGGCTTTGTTATGTACTTTTTGTTAAACTTTGCACCGACTTCTGTAAATTTTATTTACTTGGTCTTTTCTTGCATCAGTTGTCGAAAAAGGCGGCATTTCTATGTGGGAGAGGAATATATAGAGAGACAATTTCCAGTGAGATTTGGCAATTTATTAAACCAGCTTTACATTGTGTGATTCCTTTGCGTTGAGCTATTATGGGAGGACAATGTTTGCGTACACTTTTTGTTAACACTTGGCACCGCTGATTTCTGTAAATTTAATTTGCTTGGTCTTTTCTTGCATCAGTTGTTTAATAAGGCGACATTTCTATGTAGGAGAGATATAGAGAGACAATTTCCAGTGAGACTTGGCAATTTATTAAACCAGCTTTACATTATGTGATTCCTTTTGCGTTTAGCTGTTATGGGAGGAGAATGTTTGCGAAAGAGATGGTAATTCTGTGAATGCATATTATTAAGGCAGATTTAGCTTTTGTGATTTTGTTTGTCTCTCAACTGCTATCAGTTAAAAAATGCGGCCTTATTTGGCATTTTATTAAATCTGCTTTACATTGTCTGATTCATTGATGTACTCAACTCTTATTGGTGGAAAATATTTGCAAAAGAGATGTCAATTCGATAAATCAGAGATGGTGCATATTATTAAAGTTGATTTAGATTATTCGATTTTTAATTGTTTCTCAACGGCTGATGTTAATGGAAATAATGAAGACGTAGGTTCTTTAAAAGAGAATGGGCGATACAAAGATTTGGCCCTTAAGTGCTACTTCTGTATTTCATTAAAATATAAACAAAATTTAAATTTTGTAAAGGAATATTTATTTTCATATTTGGTTTAATTATATGGCTGCTTTATACTTTGTGATTTTTGGGAAGTAACGTTAGCAAAGTTATATTTTTTGAGGAAAAATCAAGAGATATACAATATTTAATGTGAAAATATTATCCTAGAGTTGGGAATATATAAATCTAGTGTACATTGCTGAACGAAGGCACAATAATAAGGTGTTATACCGGATTTTCACAATAAGACGGAATAATTAAATTAGTTTGTATATTTTTTGTACTGTGCTTTGATAACATGTCTAGTAATTGTTACATGTTTTGAACGTTTAGGACACTTCGGACAA